ATCTATAATTGTTAGTTTTCTTGCTTGATATAAATTAATACTATGAACCATTACCACTTATACATATTTATGACAATATTAATATATTTTTGTAAAACAAGTAAACAAGTGATATAGTAATTATGCAAAATGATTGTATGACTTATTACATAGCTGTTCATTATAACCTAACATACTCAAACTAAACGAAAATAAATTGTGTAGCCCAAACAATGTGCCTTACTGGTTGTAGCACATATAATGCATTTTTTTAAGCTAATATTGAATACATTCTTTAGGGCATTACTGTATAACGGTCATATAGAAACTTATAATAAGGAGCTGCCAATAAAGGAAGGATCAGCAACATCATTTAAATTGCTTCTTAAGTATATTTATTTCGGTCGATTGAACTTAAGTATTCTAAAGGTAAATTATTATGTATTTAATAAGAAAACACATATATATTACAGAAAAGGATTTGTTAAATACACATAATACCATGTGTTTTTTCATTTATTAGAGTAATATCATTTTGGAATTATTAATTCTTTCGAATGTATGGCGTTTTGAAAACTTACAATTTTCACTGTCCGAGTACTTGTGTAATAACATCAATGTACACAATGTAAGTTCGTTGTTTTCTGTGGCACTTTTCTATCAACTCAAAGAACTCGAAGACGCATCAATCAATTTTATTGACATACACACTTTGGACGTATTGCAATCTAAAGATTCTCTCTCTTTGTCGGCTGTAATTATATTTAATAGTAAAAATCAACATTGCTCTTGTTAGCTAACTAGTTGTGACAGAAATGTTATTTTTTAGGAAGCATTGCAACTAATACTCAATCGTGACACGGCGTACGCTAACGAATTGGATATATTCCGTGCGGTTTGTCACTGGATCAAAAAGAACCAAGACCACCTAGCTCCTGACGATAAAATCAACATTTTATCTGCCGTCAGATATCAGCTTATGGATAAAGAAGAACTGTTTGAAGTTAGGGGATCTGAGCTGGTTCGTTCAGATAGAAATATTTTAGATGTCATAAAGAAGTCCCTCACACAAACATTAAATGATCGAGGACGATTAGGTATACTCAATGCAAATATAATATGTTAAGCGAACTATGTTAGTAACAACTACTTTATTCTTTAGAACCAAATGTGAATTTCGCTCAAGAAAATTCGATAGAGGTTTCTCAAATTGACGGTGGTACCATGATCATTTTGGATCATCCATCGAATATAAACTATATCGAAATGAATTTATGTGACGTATATTCATGGTGCGTTTTTATTTATCAATATTTCTAATCAAGTATAATTGTATTTGAATACAAATAAGGTTAAAATTTATTTTTTTACGAATTATTTTAATAGTCGTTATTAATAAATAGAAAAAATTGTTTGTGCACTGATCAATCAGTTATGACTTATAATAATTGTTTTAATCTTTTTTGCACAAAAATTATTATTTGCTTTTTTGACATCTTTATTGATAAAAAAAATACAAAGGTATTCATTTGATCGAATTCTTGTTATTTTAGCACTTACTCTTATTACATTGATGTATCAGTGGATAGGCTCGATTGGTTGCGTGTAATTAATCATTCAAATTATGATTGTCGGTCAATTCAACGTTTGTGGATTAACCGAATATATGTTCGGTACATCCGTGTTGTTGGCACCAAAAACACTAGTAATAAAACTTTTAAATTTTTAAAAGTCATGTACAATACGGACAAAATGCACTTGGTGGAAATCAAAAATGGATTAGTTGGTAAGGACAACACGAAAGTTACTCGTTCTTTGAATAATATAAATAAAAATGTTTTATCTAATTAACTGATTTTTACCTACTAGCTCCAAGGTTTAATGTTGCTTTATCATCTATGAATGCTACTTTAATCAAAGGAATTCCAAATTCTTATACCATAGAAAGGTCGACATGGCCCCAATGGGCTGAGAACAACATTTTAAATGATGAATATAAAAACTATGGATACTCCCAAAAGTATCGTGGATATACATTTCATTACCTGGAATCGGAGTGTATAGAGGTTCAACTCGCCCAACCGTATGTGCTAAGTTCAATGAGGTAATCGTTTACATAACATTTACCTTTTACTTTGATTTCTATTATTTAATTATAATATTATTTGTTCCTAAAATATATTCAAAAATAATTTTAGGTCAACTGTGGCAATAAGATTAAGATTATATTAGTATTGTCATTATTTATAGGATGCTGCTTTGGGACTACTATAGCCGAACCTACGGTTACACTGTTGAAGTTTCAGTCAATAATGTAGAATGGGACGTGATTGCAGATAAGTCTAATAAATCGGCACGTTCGTGGCAGTTGTTGCAATTTGATCAAAGGCCGGTAGCGTATATACGTATTACTGGCATTCGCACTTCAAATGATGACAGAGTAAAATAGTTAATCTAAGAGTGGTTCTTAAATATTTTTCAAAACATTTTTTTTTTTTGTAGTCTTTTAGAATTGTATATTTGGAGGCACCCGCTCAAGTATCGCTAGATTCTAAAATCACAAAACAGTGGCAGTCGATACGGCGGCTTTTGAGTCGGAAATAGCGCCACCATTCGCCTGAAGGCCAACTTCTATATGGAACTAATGGTATTTTTTACGTATTATTATTATAGGTTACTGTCAATTTTATTGCTTAATAAATATGTATATTCAATTTAATTATTACTGTTATTAGTTACTACTGCACAAAAAAATATATATAAATTAAATAATAAACAAGATATTCTATGTTGTAAGGTTGTCAATAGTTAAGGTGTCTACAGTTGGATGATCTAAACATGATGTAATACTTATGTACTCAATTTAAATACAAATAAATAATAATATATATATTCAAATTCATGTTTTTTATTCACTGAACAATTTTTTATAGTTATAACTTTTTTGACACATTTATTTATAAAAAAAAAAAACCGAAGATTTGACAGGTAAATCCGAATTGTTGGCACCCAAAATACTAGTAATAAGAATTTTAACGATTTTAAAGTACGGACAAAATGTAATTGGTGGAAATCAAAAACGGATTAGTGGGTAAGGACAACCCGTACTTATTCCTTAAATAATATTAAAAAAATATATTTGTCTACTCAATTAATTTTAAATCAATTAGCTCCAAAGTACAATGTTGCTTTAACATCTTTGGATGCAATTGAAGTCGAAAGAGAATCAAATAGTATACTGGTTAAACTCCCTTAACCGTATGTGTTTATTTCCATGAGGTAATCATTTACATAACATTTCACTTTTACTTTGGTTTTTATTATTTAATTATATTATTTGTGCCTGAAATAAAACTTAATATTATTAAAAAAAAAAAACATTTTGTTACCTCTGCCAATAGGATCAGGATTTTACTAGTTTTATAATTATTTATAGGATGCTGCTTAATCATGGCTATAGCCGAACCTGTGGGTATAATTTACAAGTTTCGGTCAATGATGATGATTGGGAAATAATTGTAGATACATCGATAAAGTCGGCACGATCGTGCCAGTTTTTGGAATTTGAACGCAGGCCGATAGTGTATAAACTTTTAACTGGCGTTCAAACATCAAAAAATGACGGAGTATAATAATTCATCTATGAGGTTTTCTTTTATTTCTTAAGAACTTTTTTTTGTTTAGATTTTGAATTGTGTATATTTGGGTACATCTATTTCACTAGATTCCGACGTCCAATCAAAACGGTGGCCTTTAATATTACGCCGTTTCGGTCTTTAATAACGCCGCCGTTTGCATGAAAGCCGACTTCTAAATGGAACTAATTGGGTTTTTTACATATCATTATAAGTAATTTTCATTTTTATCTAATATGTATAGATAAATGAAATTCCCTTTTCTTACTGTCCGAACTTTTTATTTGACTAGTTCACGTTAATCCTAGCTTAATAGATATAAAATACCTTAATAGGTATATATTTATATAAATAGGTAGATATAAGTATAACAATAATAAATTACTTAATTTTAACTCAATATTAATTTAGATAAGGATGTCCAATTAAATTTGTCATTGCTTTTTTTATGTTGGAGGGGCATAGGAATTGATACTAAACAATGTCTATACTTATAAATAAATTATAAAATCTAAATTTCTAATAAAGCTTACATATATGACCAAGTAGGTATATTATTAGACAAATTAAATAATGCTGTAATAGAAATGTACTCAAAACAATTTAATAATAATTAAGTTATAGTAATTTGAATGAATTTAAATTAAGTTTTATATAAATTTTAAGTTACTTAAACTACTACCCCATTAAACTAAGCATATACGGTTGTGTGAGTTAAATCAGTATACCACTGACCAGAGCCGTTGTGATGAATACCTGTAGTAGTAAAGATAATAGTTGGCTTTCAATAGAGCATTCTTACTTTTTAAAATCACAAAGGATTTGTTATGTCATAATTACTATATAACTGGCGGCACTTGGTATAAGGAAACAATATACCTTCTTGGAATAGCAAGTGGCAAATTGTTTTAAAGTCACCTATAGCATGACCGATGAAAAAGAAGAAAACGAGTACATATAAATAATCATTAAGGTGAAGTATTATATGTTTACAACAATAGTATTTTAGCTTAATTTTACATTTACACCTAGCGAACACGACTTATGCAGACATTTCTTTTCTCGATAAATTTTTTTTAAGACAAAAAACATAGTTCCCCTTTTTTGGGCCCCCGTGTTTTTGATTTTCTGAAAACCGATAGTTCTGTTTTATATACGACAATAGTGTTACATGAACTGAAAATACAATAATTAACGAGAATATTTTTTATTTTAAAGGTACCTTGCTTATAAATTTTGCTACTGCACGATCAAATTCATCGAGGCATCGCACAAAAAACGCACACCAGTTGTGTACATAATTGTTTCTTTTATAAACAACATCGCGTATGCTAAAAATTGTGTGGCTATTTTATTAAAACAATATTTTAAACTTGGTTTTCAATACCTACGGACATTGTATTATTTTTATAAGCGATTCTTATAGTATTCATTGATCGAATTAACACGTATAACACGATGGTGTTTATATTTTATTTTATTGTGCTCATCGTTTTAAGGTCAACTCCAGGTACGTTATATTATATTTCAGACGCGTCTACATAAATAATTGTCTCCTTATAATCGAAGCATATAATCTTAAGCGATATATTCTGAACCCGATTATGGTAACTATCGTAATCTACGGTATTTGCTATTTTCTCACTAAAAGATGGCCTAGTAAGATTTACTTATCCTTTCACAAAACCTCCTTGCTGACTAGTTATAATGACTAAGTTAAGCGCTATAAAGCTCTGGTGGAAGCTAATTTGATATGTTTAACAAATTTAACGGAAGGTTAGTTTGTAGTCGGTGCCCTTAATTTTATATTAATTGCTAAAAATGGTAAAAGATTTCACAATTATTATTAAACCGTACTGCAAATACGCAATTAAATTATTGTTATTTTTTCATTTGAAAAACAATATTTAAAAATAAATGAAAAATTGTTCAATTACTTTACAATTATAAAACTATGTTACACTCGTCCATCAAAACTACCATTATTATTTTTTTAAAAAACTAAAATACACAATTTTATAAATAAATATTAAATCAATTGGCTGGACGCTATCGCTTACTGTAAATAAACAATACAAAATCGTTTGTGAAAATAAATTTTATTTTTTAGCATTGTCTGTTCCTACCGAGAATCCATCGTCTTCGGCCGATCCGGCCGGTTACGAGCAAATCGATCACACTCACTTCTTATCCAACGACATTAGCAATCTGTATTTAAATGAAAAGTATGTATTATGACATTTTATAAGATTCCATTAGATGTAAAGGACTGGTGGTTTTTAATTATTAAGAATATTCAATTTTATTTAGTATTAAACACATAACCTGTGTAATGACCTGTACATATATATATATATATGTATAATAACAGTGTTGCCTACTATAACGTGCCCTTAAAAAAAAAAAAATGAACTAGAAAATAAAAATAATTCTTATAAACAAAACAAACATATTATAAAATATAAAATTGACACATAAAAAAAAAATAAGCAATAAAATTAAAAAATATTAGGGACAAACAAGATAGAAATAAATAATACAGACTTACAAATGATGAACAATTAACATAATACATCTTAAATTTTACTATTTTCTACCATGTCTATTTACTGGCTCTTGCTGTTTAAGAACTATGGAAGAATTTGAATAATTAATTTTCTTACTGCAATGTATTCTTATTTAAAGTCTTTATTATAATTTAATATGTTTTCTATTTTTCCTATAACAGATATAATGATAGATTCATTTTTTTATTGTTTTGAAAAATTATATTTTGATGCTATGTTTAGTGACCACCTGGGCATCAGTGTCCAGCTAACCCCCCATAACAGTACCGTTAATAGATAAATCAAGTTATTTTATAACCACGACGAATCTTACAGATTTTGACTTACAAATTTTAGCGTTTATATTAAGCTACACTAGTTAAACTAAAATCTCGATATTAGCTACGGATTATGACTATTAAAATTAACACCATTGATTATGCTTAAACAGCTATTGCTGAAACACTTCCTTCAATCAATAGAACAAATGCATATACTTTATCAGAATGTAATTTAAATATATAAAAAAGCAAAAGCAGTGTATGAATAAACTTTTTTTTGCAATTTTTTTGTATTATTTTTAAAGATTTAATATTATACATTAATTATTATTAATTTGTAGTATTTGTAAATTTTAATATATATTTTAGGTTTTCGGATGTTGTTTTAGTTGTAGATAATAAACGATTCCACGCCCATCGTGCTGTGTTAGCCTCACGCAGTGATTATTTCGGGTAATAATATCTTATCTTTTATCATATTGTTCTCTTTTTTAAGTGTTTGTCAATTGTTCTAATAGTAATGCAATATGATTGTATGACTTATTACATAGCTGTTCATTATAACCTAACATACTCAAACTAAACGAAAATAAATTGTGTAGCCCAAACAATGTGCCTTACAGGTTGTAGAACATATTATAATGCATTTTTTTATGCTTATATTGAATAAATTCTTTAGTGCATTACTGTATAACGGTCATATAGAAACTTATAATAAGGATGTGCCAATAAAGGAAGGATCACCAACATCATTTAAAGTGCTTCTTGAATATATATATTTTGGTCGAATAAACTTAAGCATTCTAAAAGTAACTTATAATTTATTAAATAAGAAAATAAATATATATTAGAGAAAAGGATTTGTTAAATACACATAATACCATGTGTTTTTTCATTTATTAGAGTAATATCATTTTGGAATTATTAATTCTTTCGAATGTATGGCGTTTTGAAAACTTACAATTTTCACTGTCCGAGTACTTGTGTAATAACATCGATGTACACATTGTAAGTTCGTTGTTTTCTGTGGCACTTTTCTATCAACTCAAAGAACTCGAAGACGCATCAATCAATTTTATTGACATACACACTTTGGACGTATTGCAATCTAAAGATTCTCTCTCTTTGTCGGCTGTAATTATATTTAATAGTAAAAATCAACATTGCTCTTGTTAGCTAACTAGTTATGACAGAAATGTTATTTTTTAGGAAGCATTGCAACTAATACTCAATCGTGACACGGCGTACGCTAACGAATTGGATATATTCCGTGCGGTTTGTCACTGGATCAAAAAGAACCAAGACAACCTAGCTCCTGACGATAAAATCAACATTTTATCTGCCGTCAGATATCAGCTTATGGATAAAGAAGAACTGTTTGAAGTTAGGGGATCTGAGCTGGTTCGTTCAGATAGAAATATTTTAGATGTCATAAAGAAGTCCCTCACACAAACATTAAATGATCGAGGACGATTAGGTATACTCAATGCAAATATAATATGTTAAGCGAACTATGTTAGTAACAACTACTTTATTCTTTAGAACCAAATGTGAATTTCGCTCAAGAAAATTCGATAGAGGTTTCTCAAATTGACGGTGGTACCATGATCATGTTGGATCATCCATCGAATATAAACTATATCGAAATGAATTTATGTGACGTATATTCATGGTGCGTTTTTATTTATCAATATTTCTAATCAAGTATAATTGTATTTGAATACAAATAAGGTTAAAATTTATTTTTTTACGAATTATTTTAATAGTTGTTATTAATAAATAGAAAAATTTGTTTATGCACTGATCAATCAGTTATGACTTATAATAATTGTTTTAATCTTTTTTGCACAAAAATTATTATTTGCTTTTTTGACATCTTTATTGATAAAAAAAATACAAAGGTATTCATTTGATCGAATTCTTGTTATTTTAGCACTTACTCTTATTACATTGATGTATCAGTGGATAGGCTCGATTGGTTGCGTGTAATTAATCATTCAAATTATGATTGTCGGTCAATTCAACGTTTGTGGATTAACCGAATATATGTTAAGTACATCCGTGTTGTTGGCACCAAAAATACTAGTAATAAAACTTTTAAATTTTTAAAAGTCATGTACAATACGGACAAAATGCACTTGGTGGAAATCAAAAATGGATTAGTTGGTAAGGACAACACGAAAGTTACTCGTTCTTTGAATAATATAAATAAAAATTATTTATCTAATTAACTGATTTTAACCTACTAGCTCCAAGGTTTAATGTTGCTTTATCATCTATGAATGCTACTTTAATCAAAGGAATTCCGAATTCTTATACCATACAAAGGTCGACATGGCCCCATTGGGCTAATAACAACATTTTAAATGATGAATATAAAAACTATGGATACTCCGCAAAGTATCGTGGATATACATTTCATTACCTGGAATCGGAGTGTATAGAGGTTCAACTCGCCCAACCGTATGTGCTAAGTTCAATGAGGTAATCGTTTACATAACATTTAACTTTTACTTTGATTTCTATTATTTAATTATATATATAATTTGTGCCTAAATTATATTCAAAAATAATTTTAGGTCAACTGTGGCAATAAGATTAAGATTATATTAGTATTGTCATTATTTATAGGATGCTGCTTTGGGACTACTATAGCCGAACCTACGGTTACACTGTTGAAGTTTCAGTGAATAATGTAGAATGGGACGTGATTGCAGATAAGTCTAATAAATCGGCACGATCTTGGCAGTTGTTGCAATTTGATCAAAGGCCGGTAGCGTATATACGTATTACTGGCATTCGCACTTCAAATGATGACAGAGTAAAATAGTTAATCTAAGAGTGGTTCTTAAATATTTTTTAAAACATTTTTTTTTTGTAGTCTTTTAGAATTGTATATTTGGAGGCACCCGCTCAAGTATCGCTAGATTCTAAAATCACAAAACAGTGGCAGTCGCTACGGCGGCTTTTGAGTAGGAAATAGCGCCACCATTCGCCAGAGGGCCAACTTCTATATGGAACTAATGGGGTGTTTTACATATTATTATTATGGGTTACTTTCAATTTTATTGCTTAATAATTATATATATATATTCAATTAAATTATTACTATTATTAGTTACTTATGCAAAAAAAGGATAAATAAAATAAGAAATAAGATATTTTATGTTGTAAGTTTGTCAATAGTTAAGGTGTCTACAGTTGGATGTCTAGTGTTGTTGTCCATTTGACCGCGTTATCAGTAGGTTCTTTGAGTTATTTTTAATGCATTGTAAGTATATATAACATTTAATGTAACGTTTACATACGAATATATACAGTTTTTTAAAACATAACAATATTAGCTCACGTTTGTCTGTAATTATACGTTTTATTTCTCCCAAACCACATTTGACGTTGTCGGTAGGAGAATGAAAAATTCAAAAATTTCGGATTATCTCTTCCCATAAGTGACAAAATTCGACAAGAAAGTTGGATACAAGTTCTGTTAGCAGACTCTTAGATCGGTTTTTTCACTGAATATTATACCCTGTTTTAAGGACTGAGCTAAATGTCATAGATAAGCATGTGTCACAATGTTTGGCGCAAAAAACGGATATCTCAAAAAAAAAAATCGATTTAATTTTCTTTAGGAATGTCTTTGAAAGTATTGATTTGGGGCATTTTGAGCAACCCCGTGTATTCCTCTGACTTGATGCCTTCAAACTTTCATCTTTTTAACTTTTCTGAAGACTCACATGGGAGGAAAACCATTTCCAACTTACAGAGTATGAATAAGAGGTCCTGAATTGGTAGAAGGAGATGGGGGGGGGGGTTATTTATCGACTAATTTATCGAGGTCTTACTATCGCCGGTGCTTGTTGTGTTCAAAAGAACTTCCACTACCACTTAGTAATGTCAACCTTGAAAAAACTCATTGCACACATGACCAGTTAGGTTTATTTTTAGACAAATTTAATACAGTGTTATACTTATGTAATCAATTAAAATTAAAATAAATAATAAAGCAAATAACTGTTCTGGATAAATACTGGATCAGCATAAATTTAATTTAATTAAATATAAGGTAATATTTACTTTACTGCGGTTGAAAAACACTGTTTTAGCAATTTCAAAGTTAACTCAACTACTATTAATACTAAATATAACTTAATAATTGTTTAAAAATCCCTAAAATCCAGCAGGGCTCAGTGAGTACAAAACGCGAATAAATGAAAATTTGAACTAAACGGTCTCGTTGATTATTACATTTGCGGTATACTTACACTACACGCAAACACTAAATTTGGTAAAGTTGTTATATGTTTATAAAAAAAGTATAGCAACTGAATTTCCTATTTTCCCCTAACGAAGACGTTTTTTGTAAACTTTATTTTCTCAATACATTTTTAAAGATAAATATAAAAAAAAAACCCTGCCTATAAATTTTGCTACTGCACGATCAAATTCAACGAGGCATCGCACAAAAAACGCACATCAGTAGTGTACATAATTCTTTCTTTTAAAAACACTATCACGTTTGCTAAAAAATTGTGCGCTTTTTTATTGAAACAATATATTTCACTTGGTTTTCAATACCCATGGACGGTGTATTTTTTTTATAAGTGTTGCGTATAGTATTCATAAATCATATTAACACGCATAAAATGATGGTGTTTATATTTTATTTGATTGTGCTCATCGTTTTAAGGTCAACTCCAGGTACGTTATATTATATTTCAGACGCGTCTACATAAATAATTGTCTCCTTATAATCGAAGCATATAATCTTAAACGGTAAGTTTTGAATACAATTATGGAAATGATCGTAATCTACGGTATTTGCTATTCGCTCACTAATTGATGGCCTAATTAGTTTTTAACTTCCTTTCGCAAACCTCCTTACTGAATTGTTATATTGTCTAAAATAGTCTCTAAAAAATTAAAACCAGATAGCTGGACGTTAATTAATATCGTAAAAAAACTGTACAATTCGTTTTCAAAAACAGTTTTATTTTTTTAGCAATTTCTGATCCATCGTCATCGGCCAATCCGTCCGGTTCCGAGCAAATCGATCACTCTCACTTCTTGTTCAACGACATTAGTAGTCTATATCTAAGCGAAAAGTATTGTATTTATAACTATTAGTTTTATTATTGTTTGTTAAGTACAATTTTTTAACGTCAGCATCATACATTTTACTTAAACAACGATCGCTGAAACTTAATTATTTTATATATAACGACACAGCATACTGGTCAATAGTAGAGAACATAGTTATTAGGATTTTTATACAATATTAATAATAATAAAGTACTTGTGATTATATGATAAATAATTAAAAAATAATAATAATAAAAATATCATCCACTTTGTCACTAAGCTTTTGTTCGTATCTACAATAAACACTAAAATGTAATAATTAACAAAAACAAAATAGCACGAGTAGAGCACGTAGAGTTATTTTTATCTGCACGCGTTACTCTACAGCACTTTAACATCAGATAATATTAAAATTGTAATATTTTTTGGTCAATTTCATAGTTCAGGAAAAAAACCATCAAAATGATACCCTATTTAAGAGTAAAAAATATAATTGTACTCGTCTTGCTTTTGGGTTGATAAAAGCCTTTATTCTGAGTGCCCAATTCTATTAAAAAAAGTCTTATCAATTTTCAAAAATATCCATCGGCATATTCCATTAAGTATCAAAATATTCAGGTCGTCAGCGACGTTAAAAATAAGTAAACCAGGAATTCCACTAGTTATAAGGGAAAAATAATTTCTGAAGCCAGTCGCTGTTTAAAATGGCTTTTATAAATAATGTGATAATGTGTATACAATTATACACATCATCAGCTGGGATAGGGTTTCATAGTGATTTGTCTTACACAATCATTAAATACTTCGTTTAATGAGATAATAGTATAAAATATCTTGCAATATTGGCGGTACTATGGTATACTTGCCCCATCCAACAAGTATAAATAATATTAAAATAACGTTTGGGAATAATTTTACAGGGTATGTTAATTAAACAAAAATAATAAATTTTCATATTTTTTTTACTAATTATAATTAAACTAAATATGAGTTTGTAAACATGCGTTATGTGTTGGTCTATTTTACCGTATGATGACAAAAATATTATATTTATTTTATAATGTGTCTGAGATGGTAGTATGTCAACTAATTGAGCATCGGTTCCCTGGATCATTGTCTTGTTGGTCTGCTGTCTCCTCATTTTGTTGACCTGGTGCTTCTGCCATAGTAATATATGGTTCGTTGTTCTCCTGAAAACAGAAATTTTCGTTACAACTTTGTCTTAATGATAGTAAAAACCATAATTGTTTTAATAAACCAACAATAGTATGCTTTGACTTTGATGTACGTACCGCATAATGTGTTACAACATGACGGTCTGGGTAGGGGGAATGTAATGGTTTTTGAGCGGGAGCCTCAAAATATACACAACGAAAAAACTACAATTTAAATGAGTTATTAAAAGTTGTTACAGTTTAAAAATAATTTTTTACTCACGGAGCCTATTGAATTGCGCAAGCCAGTAATACGAATGAATACCATTGGCCTTGGTTTAAAATGCAACACCTGCCAACCATGTGCCTTTTCCATAGAATTGTTCATGATCATTACCCAATCCTGGTTATTGATAGAAACTTCTACGGTGTAACTGTAGAATAAGTCATCATCATCCCAAAGCAGCATTCTGTCAATTATGACAATAGTATCAATAAATCAACGATTAAGTTGGTAAACATTTAAGTTAGGTCTATGAAGTTGAACGCATACAATATATGTATCTTAGGCAATCTAACAAGATACTATAATTTTTTTCAACTAACATGAAGACAAACAACAAAATAGTAATTTAGAAGTTCTTCAAAACATTACCTCATTGAACTAAGTATATAAGGTTGTGCGAGTTGGATCCGAATACAACCCAACCCTAGAGAATGCCATGTATATTTGTTATTCCGAAAGTCTCTAGAGTCAATAAAGTAGGGATGAATTAGGAAATTTCTCCTATTATGTGGTTCACCTTCGTGTACAGTTGCGTTCATAGATTCTATAGCAACATTGTATTTGGGAGCTGAAAAATTTAATTAAGTCGACTAGATAAATATGTAATATATTTTTAAAAATTGGTTGTTTTTATTTTAGATGGAGAGAGGGGATCTTACCTACAAATCCATTTTCGATTTTTACCGAGCCCAATCTTTCAGTATTGTACAATAGTTCTAATAATTGGAATTTCTTATTGACAGTATTTTTTGTACCAACTATTCGAATATACCTAGCTATCTGCTTAGGAATCCACAAATCTTGAACAGAACGACAAATATAATCTGAATAATCTACAACACGCACCCAATGGTCGTCATCAATTGAAACATCAATATAATAACTGTAATCCCTAAAAAATCATATAAATCAAACTAACCGTTTTATATATTTTTATAAATGTATAAAATAAAAAAAACACATAATTGTTGTGTATAGAATTAATAATTATTCCACTTAAAAAATTTTGTTCCTCTAGACAGTTGCCCCCCAGAGGAACAAACCGCCAGTGGCTTGCACTACACATTTTCAAAAATAAAAATATAATTAAACAATTATTAAAGCTTGAGTGGGGTATTATATTTACACTATTTACATAACTTGAGGTTACTCCCACTTGGATATCTTGACTAGTTCAATAATGTTTCGGAATACTTGCACGTTCCATCTTCAGGGCTGTGGTTCGATGCTGCTCGCTCCGTGCTCTTCTGCAGACTGACCGATTCGCTCCCGTTGGTGTAGGTTTTATACCATACCCCCAACCGCATTCTCTGCTTCCTCTTGCCGCTGCCAGCTGTTTTCCACGGCCACGCCCCTTCGCCATGGCCGGCTTCTTGCTGTATTTCCAGCTCTCTTCAACCCGTTTGGTCTCCGGTTTCCTTTGGTCCTCTTTTTAATTGATGTATCACCCATTTCCACGTTTTGCTCAATTTCCAACCATCCTCACGGTTGAAGTTTGTTGTGCATTTTTCGATACCAACGGAAGCGAATCGGTCAGTCTGCTAGAGAGCGCGGTGCGTGCAACATCGAACAACAGCGCTGAAGATGGAACGTGTAAGTGTTCCGAAACGATGGCAAACTAGTCAAGACATCCGAGATGGAGTAACCTCAAGTCATGAAAATAGTGTAAAAATATAATTATTTAAAATAAATACTAGTAAAATCGAATTCAGAATAATTATATTCAACACAATTATATTGAATAAATTTCATTTATGATTTAAAAATATTGATCAACATACCCTGAATTATTATCCCCGAATATAATCATAATTTTGTTTATAACTGTTAAATGATCCAAAGTTATCATAGCAGCTCCGTCAAATTCATTAATACCCAAAACACCCTGAGAACCATTAATAATATTCACATCTGAAAATTAAAAAATTAAAACCGACCTAATTCAATGAATATAATACGATGTGTTCAACAAGCATACTTTGCTGTACTCGAAACTGAAGCTCATGTGGTGATACCGTGTTTCGTAACAACTTGGCACGCGATATTCTTTCCAAACTAACCAGTTTTGATAAGCTAACCTCATCCAGTTCTTCATCACTCATTAATGCAAATCTAACAGTAGAAAAAACTTGGTTGATGGCATCAGAATCTAAGTAGTCTTGGTTCTCTATGATCCAGCGATATACCGCACGAAATATTTCCAATTCGTTAGCACAAAACGAGTCACGAGTGAGAATTTCACGAAGAGCTCCCTAAAATTAAAATGTTGTTTCCCAACTTGTCACATAACACGAAAACATAATTTTTTTCTTATTCAAATATTATTACGGCTGACAAATTTAGAAAATCTTCTGATTGCAATACATCCAAAGCGTGAGTTTCGATAAAGTTGAGCAGATATTCGGGTGATTTTACCACGGAGGTTTTGGGTTGACAAAGTCGTGACATAGCAAACAAAGAACATACATTATGTTCATTTATGTTATTGCTTAAATACTGAGACAGTGTGTATTGTAAGTCTGAGAGTTCATATAAATTCGACAGACTAAATAATTCCACAATAACATTATCCTAAAAAAATATATAATTAAATCACTAATTAATTGTTTTCATATAAATATCTTATTTCAAACTAACTAATTAAACAGTATAGTGTAAATAGCCATAAAGTATATCGGTTATACCTCACCTTTAGATCATTTAAATTCATCCGACCAGTATAAATATACTCAAGAATTATTTTAAATGATGCTAATGGTGCATCACTAATGTTCACTTCAGGCTTACCGGTTTCTTGAAAACCTCCGAACAATAACCTTCTAGAAATTATACATGATATTAATGCAAACAATTATTTCAACGACCCCAACGAAAAAAGTCGTAAATCATTTTTTAAACTAAGATGTGTTTTGACCTAAAAACACATGTCATCTGTTTAACCGGAATAGATAGTGGTATTATAAATGGGCCAAAGAAGTAGCCTGTGTAACCAGTTAAAGATAAAGTGAGTTGAAACCATTTTCATACGGGGAGCGTCGAAAATATGTGCCACAATTAGTAAGGCTGAGGCTTTTGTAGTATGACTTCCCAGACTATCTGTCTAAAACTACTCAAAATCAATTAATTCTAAGGTGATATGCTTAATTAAAAAACTTTATAGGTACCTAAAATATTCACTTCGTGAAGCTAATACAGCACGGTGGACTGGCAATTGTACCTTATCGACCATGAAAACAACATCAGAAAATCTGAAATAAACATTATATACAGAAACGAATTATCAAAAAATAGTAATTAATGTTTTTCACTTTTTACGTTGTTAAAAACCGACATACTGATTAAGATAAATAATATTAGACGACTTTTTTAAAATTATTATCAAAAAAAATTCACCTAATAATAATATTATATCTATGATTTGATAACACTAGCTTAAGCTTTTTTCAAATTTAAGAAACATAAATTTAAGATTAAAATTTATATTTAAATTTTATAATTATTTTACTATTATTGGAAATATATGAAATAATAAATTCCTTATGTTACAGAAAATTAAACCCATAATAAAAATAATTGGTTAAATAATAAAGTAATTGTCGCAATGACCTAACCTACCCAACTTACCTGTCATCTAGAAACAGAGTGCTAATGTCTTTGACCACTAAGTCACGGTGTTCGATTTGCTTTTCGTTCTGTTCGGCTGTAGAAGAAGATGGTGTAGAATCAACAGAATAATAACATGCTAAAAAAAATTGAAAAACAAACTGATTTTGCTGTAGAGAAAGTATGGTTTATTTATTTAGAATACGGTGTACTATCAAGCCATCCAATTTCACTAATTATTCATACTGTTTACTTAGTTAATCAAATAAAATAATAAAAATATTGTTTTTGAGCGCAAACAATACGTTTTAATAATTAAAAAACTGTCATAGTCAAATAATAATAAATGTATGACATTAGATTTCTCTGAAAATAATTACAATTTGTTGAAGTTTTTAAGCGTGTAATGGACGTGCAACACGTTTTATAGCGTATAAACTATAAAAACATTTTCGTTGGTTTGTTCAAATAAATAATATCTTACTTACGTAAAAACAAGGAAAACATGTGAGACTTAGAAATGCATAAATATTTTGATGGAACACAAAAATTATTATAATTCGACTATCAAAAAATTAACTGTGGTTTACATCGTTAGTAATAAATTATAATAACACTTAGAGATTGCTGCGTTCGAATAATACAGAAACAAAATTCTTAATTTATTTGTAAAATATAATAGGTATGTACATGGAGTTATAGTACATTTATGACATTAGTTATCTTATTATTAATGTTTATAAGTGTGTAAGGGACGTGTAGTACGTTGTATGGGGTATAAAATCTATAAAATAGTAGCGTTGGATTGTTCAAATAAATGACACCATTCCTACGTAAACACGGTAAAATAAATTTGGGCCTTAAAAATTGGATCTACACAAAAATTTAACTAAGCTTATAAAAAATTAACGATGGTGGAGAACCACTTAAGTTGATCATTAACTATATAACTAGTGTAGGTATTGAATGTCAGAGTTTGTGTATGTTCTAGTTTTATCTTAAGTGTGATACTAGCGTTGTCTAAAAGATTTTTAAAAGTCATGTAGGTATTGTACATCTATAGTAATAATTACGCTTAGAGATTGCTGCGTTCAAATTATATAGAGACAAATTTATTAATTTATTTGTAAAATATATTATGTACCTGTAATTGTCCATAAAATAATAATGACTAAAAAATAAGTCATCTTCGTGCTAAATGATACGGGAATTTAATATTAAATGTGAACACTTTATAAAACACTATAAAGAAAATCGTCATGAGTGTTTAAAAATGTAGTTTTATCGTAGTAGCGTACCATATTTTTCCATACTTACATACTAACGTTGATAAACGAAAATATGTGTACACGAATTGTGTTTTTTTGTGTAGGTACATAAATTTGTTTTTGCTGTATATTGACTCACGTTTAATATTACCCAGAAGGTTTAAACCGGATATAGGTCATATAGTTATTCGCCGTTTTTTCTATAGGCATTATAATGCAGATTTAACAGTTGCTCTCTATAAAACTCAATGTCAAAATGGAAAACTAAATTAAAAAAATCAGCAAAGTTCATTTAAAAAAATTTAGAATTTCCTTAGATTAAATTATTTGTGAATTTATTATAATTAAGGTAATCATGCAATTTTTAATAGTCTTTATAATATATGTTTTTTTGTCCATATATTCTATTAAAAGACTTTTATTCGTTAAATTTATAGTAAATAAATAAGTTAGTGGGCCCAAAGACAGGATGGATGGCCAAGCCGTATTTAAACATAAATATCCCTCAAGTCTTTTACAACTACTTACTATACCGTCCGAGGAGCATAACAGGCGATCGTACCTCTAAAGAAGTTATGGCTTAAAATAAATTAGGTCTTGGTCCGTAGATGGTAGTATGTCAACTAAATGAGCATTGGTGACACGGTTCATTGACCCTTTTGTATGTTGTCTCCACAAACTATTATATCTTACAAGC